GTGCTTCCATAGCACACTGCGGCATGACTCGCTGGTTTGTGATAAAAAGGGCATATTGCCTATCTGCAGTAGGGCGCAGTATTGTCTCCAGACTGACCGACCCCTGCTCTGTTCCCCGTTGCGCAGATGAGAAGATCCAGATGACGCTGCCGCAAACGACGCGGTTCGACGCCTACTCGGAGAGCCCGACGTACCGCCTGTGCTGGTACCTGCCGCACGCGCTGCAGAACAGCCCGCCGCCCACGCCCGACGACTCGTACGTCGAGGTGGCCCTGCTGCCGGCCAGGACTGTCATCGCGCGGTGAGTCCGCGACACCCGAGTCGACACACGTCCCACACACAATTACACGATGTTCCTTCAGGCCCTCAAGGCACGAGTGTGCAATCCATCGAGGTTTGTGCAAACTGTTTCCCGGAAGGGAGGAGAAACCGCGGCTATCCGGCGGCTCGTGGCACGTCGTCCGGCTATTCATTAGCCGGGGCGCCCGAAGTAGATCGAGAGCGGGGCGCCTCGGCTCTGAGCTGGTCGTGTTCCACCGTTACCCGCCGGCGGCGGTTCCGAGAGAGGCGGACCGGGCCGCCGACCGGCTCATATGCATACGGCTAATTCAGACAGTCTGAGAGCCAAACGGCGACGGTCCAACGTGACAGAAAACAGCGTGGTCCGACGGCCACACCTGACAGGATCGGACACCAGGAGCGCCGGCTAAATGATGTGCTCACACGAACGAGCACTAATTTGCTGGAAAATGTTCCCGTGCTATGTGCTACACAGCTTTTAGCACATAGTGTGAGCTCCAGCGTGATGCACTAGAAGTAGAAATTGACTATTTAGTGGCACGCTTTCAGCCCCGATGTGGAGTTGCACAATCGCTTTATGGGGGAGTGATTAATATAACAGCAGCCTGCGGAAATCCCGCAGAAAATCACCGAGTCATGTGTTCCTATTGTGTCATCCCTCGGCGTGTGAGGACTGGGAACTTTGATGACTGCGACGTTCCCTGGCAGCATCCGCCTACTAGCCTAAGACCCTTCGAGTTTTCACGTCCTATACACACGCCGTTGTAATCAGTGCGCACTGCCCAGTATTCGCGCCGGTATTTTCCCAAGCCCGGTGTATGCACCCCGGTCCGGTCCAGTGACGCCCGCGGCGGTGCGTTGCAGGCGGTTCGGCGGCTACGTGGTCTACCGGCGCGGCTGGGACCGCGCCGCGTTCGCCCTGGAGAAGATCACCCGCGAGCACGGCCTGCAAAACATCGACTTCACCAAGTACTACAGGTGGGTGCCGCAGAGAGGCGCGCCCGACTCGGAACAGGCTGGGCCGTGTGTACAAGCCTGGAATTAATATGATCTTCGAAGTTCAAAGATATCTGTCCAAAAATCGACAAAGTCACACTGCACTGATGATCTATCGGTTAAAACAAACGTCAAAGGTGATTTTTGCCACGTCAAAATGCTTTCTTTTTTAACATTTAAATCATTTTTAATTGTTTCCTTCCTTTCTGCTCCATTCTTCGGTATTAGTAACGAGCTACGCCTTAATCTATCACACCTAATGCTAATGACAAATCCATAACTTATCAAGGAAACGATCTACCCTCAATCTATCCGACGATACTCGAACTGCACATCAGACAAACAGAAATGTCAAAGCGTGTTCCAGTTGTCAGCTGTCAGAGCTGCTCCGCCCCCCCCCTCTCTCTCTCTCTCTCTCTCTCTCTCTCTCTCTCTCTCTCTCTCTCTCTCTCTCTCTCTCTCTCTCCCATGGACCTCCGTCCGGCGCCGTCCCCGTACCGTTAAGGTCTAGCTACACCAGGGGCGGATCCAGAAAATCTCCAAGGGAGGGGCCATTAGAAACCAGGAGGCCCCCATAATCCCACCTGTTGGAGGCCCCATCTTCCCACTTGTTGGCCCCCCCCCCCCAAAAAAAAACTGCGTCTATTGAGCTTATCTAGCTGTTCAGGCAACATCTCAACATGAATAGCCACTTTATTTTCAGGAGGCCCCCTTTTCAGCTTTTTAACTTTTTATTTTATTTTTGAAAAAAATCGGCCAAGGGGGGGGGGCCATGGCCCCATGGCCCCCCCCCCCCTTGTATCCGCGCCTGAGCTACACTATGCGGGATCCTACGTCCGTGATCTGCGTGTTTGCGGGTTTTGCAGAAAATCGGTACGCAGGTCAAGTTCAGCTGATAGGAAATACACAGGGTCGGCTACACTGGGGTCACGCAGATTCAGTCAAGGAAATCCCGGACGTTCAGTACAGGAAATGCCGGATAGTCAGGACAGTCAGGATGTTCCGTACCGATATAAAGTTCAGAGCTACGAACTTTTTTGCAGAATCTGCGTGATTCCGTGATATGACACAGTTGTTGGCGCACTTGGTGGCACACCGTATGAATCCAAGTGACGTAATTAATAATTATTTCTTTAATTTTCATGTGTTTTTGATGTTTTATTAACAAAATAGACTAATCATTAATAAAATAGTATAGAAGATAGCAAACTTACGCGTTTGTTGCGAAACCATTTATTAGTTGTCATTATTATGTCAGAATACAATAATAGGTACACGGAAATTCTGGAAAAACGCAGAAACCGATGTCAAGGGAGTCTCGCAATCTCGGATCTGCAGATCACGCACGTAATTTCCTGGACGGTCACGCATAGTGTAGCTTAGGCTTTACACGCTGTTACGGGCTGGACTGCAGGTCCGACCGACTGGCCCAGCAGGGGGCGCTTTTCCCCGCTCCTCCCTCGTCCCAGCAGAGGCACTCCTCTCCGGCCGGCTTTTTGTACTTAGAGAGCCACCAGGCCCATTACCTGGCTTCACACAAAAACCGATTGACTGTCATTATTCGGAAGAGAAACATCAGTTCCGCGCACGCATCCTAGTCGTGCAGATAAACGTGTCAAAGTCTGGGCTTGGGCGACTTCTCGTTATAAAACAAGAGACGCGGATATTGGCAGTGATGCAGGGATCACTAATCAGCGTTTTACGAGCTCTCCCTGTGCTTTCGGGCAACTTATTGTGGTAGATACCAAGTTTCGAACATAATTGTCTTCTGTTCTTTCAGTTCTAAACTGATGGCATTTTCGGCGCGACATAAGCAAGCAGTAAGGCGAAGCACAAAGTAAAACACAGCTGATTGACGAATAAATTCCTCCCGGCATTTTGCCTACTTAACGATCAAACGTCAAGCAACCCTCTCCCTTATAGTTCTACTCTCGAGTCATTTGCAAGAACTTTATTGAATAATTTTATTGAGCACAAATGCAATATAGTAGCCGTGTCAAGTTTCTAAGCCTGACCGAAATCACATATAAAGACGAGTGATTCGAGAGCTAGACGAGCAATATCCGCATCGACATAAACAAGGATTATGATCGACATCATCGTAACCAGGCGCCCATAGGGTCACGGCTATGAAAACGATGGTAGAATCACATTTACGTTGGACGTAAAACCGGGCCGGGGGTAATATTTTGCATACGCTGGACAGTTGGGCCATCCCAGATATTTGCGGCCAGGCGCCAACTTTATGTCAGAGTTGTAATGGTTCCACCGTCTGCCCCGTCCCTCACCCCGCGCGCCTGAAGGGACTGGCGATGTTTGTATGCGGGGAGAAAACGCCATTATGACTGACCCTCGCTGCGGAGAAAGTGCGCCTGTCGGCACGACGGCTCTGGCACGGCCGGGTCAGATCGCTGATACTGAGTGCACGCCAACGGGCGGGGCCGCCTCCTCGCGTCCGCCCTGTTCAATAGGCCGGGAATGCCCGCCCAGTGTCCAGGTCGGCCGTAGAAAGCTGGCAGAAGTGAATAGTAGAGCTCGCAGAGCGTTCGAGCCGAATGACGGCGAACGTTTCTCAGTCAGCGATTTGCTTAGATGTGCCTGACCACGGACGCGTGATGTGACCCAGGTCATGGGCTGGCCGCAAAAATGGCTTCAATTTACACTCAGCTACTATATATTCCAATTCAAACTCAATGCATGCTGAGAAATGCTTTCGCAGACATACGGCACGAGTTACGCTCAGGTGGCAGCAGAGAGAACTTCCGATGTCGATCACTAGGCTGTGCAATAGTCGTACACCATGTGCGTACAATCCGAGGGTCGCTCTCACACAAACAACTATACCAAATTTAGCATTTGTTACTACAGGAACCGAATACTTCGCTAGGCGAGCTCCTCATTAGCTGCAATCAACCCTCGTGTAAACCTTCACGCCCGCCTCCCGAGTCCCATCCTGTACCCTATTGGGGCAGGTCACCGCTGAGCGCCCGCTCCTCACCTTACCCCTGCGCTCCCTATTCCACCTGGAGCTCCCACGCCCGCACTGACCGTTCGTCCCTTCGCAGTGTCAACTACGACCCTCTGCTCAAGTTCTGGAACCGTAAGAACGAAGTCTGGTTCGAGCTGCAGGCCAACTAGACGCCGTCGACTGCCGCAACTGCCGATAACACCGAAACGCGACGCTGAAAAACTACCGTCAGCGTCAGTGCCCGATCGGCGTCTGCTTCGTGATTATTTTGGCGACAGAGGCAACTATGCAGTCAGCTCTCAGTTTGAGGTCTTATCATAACGACCGAACAAGAGTTTCATCTTCATTCTTGATCTGCCAAAGTAGGACGCATTACGGCAAGAGCCGTAATGGCAAGAGGCAAGAGCCGTCCCTTGAAGTCAAGGGAACTGCGTCCAAAGACACGCACCACCCGCCGTGCCCTCGCAGAGGGCCCGGCGCATGCTAGCTATTCGTTGAGCGAGTGTAGAGCGTGATAGGCCCTGTATCCGGCCGCAGTTGTTGCCTGTTTTTATAGGTGTGCTAGAGACTGTAATTGCATTGTTATTACGTTTGTTGTTTGTATTGTTATTACGTTTGTTGTTTGTATTGTTATTACGTTTGTTGTTTGTATTGTTATTTGTTATTGTTATATTATACTACGTCACTATCGTCAAGTAGAAGTCTATAAATATACTCATAAGTCTGATTTGTAGTATTCCGTGATCCAGTATGGTTTATTCACAGAACCACGTCGTTATCCGTTGGGGGCAGACAGTTCACCTCTGTACCATGCACAATAACCTTGCACTGCACGGCGCTGACGGACACAAAGACGGTATTATTTGATGTAGTCGACGGCGTTTGTCACGTTATCAAACGATTAAAACCATCGATGTGCCACAAAGATGCAAAGATAACTCGTACCCAACACGTGGATACTATTTCACATTTCAGTACAAAACACGCACAAAACACCCCACATAAGTCAGCTCTCAAATCACAGTTAAGGTCATTGGATGCACGGCGCACTTCATTCTGCCATCTGTCGTCATGTTTTGCGTTTCTTCTTTTCATCTGGCGGCGAGATGGCGCCACTGAGCTGCAGCACGTTTCGTGTGGCGTTATTGATATGCCGGAATCGGTCGGGTCCCAGCTGTATGCCGCCATACCATCGAGTGACCACAACCACCCAGTTCTGAGCGCCGACAATCTGAAAACGCAGCCAAATAGCGCGCTGACTCCGCAGTCCTGGCGGCTGAACATTTAAAATTAAATGGAAACCAGCCTTACACTTAACGCCAGCTGTCTGAGCCGGCCCGGAATATAAATGTCTTCGAAATATTTGACGTGATGCTTTTGAAGTGAACTCATTGAGACTGGACTGAGCTAACCAAGGTGAAGCACAACATACGCGGAAATGAGTGAAACTTGTGATCAGACGGTGCGTTAAAGTTAATGAATGAGTATTCGACGGTAGCCCATATAAATCCGAGAAACTTGTATGCTATCACAAATTAATTGGATAATGGCTAAGCAACCCCCGCAAAGGTGTCAAACTACGAGAAGGAGACCAGTGACCAGTTTCTCCCCTCGGGCCGGCGGCAGGACTGCCATCAGGACAGGACTGCGGCGATACGGGAAGTGGGGAGAACAGTCCCAGGAAGTAGACAGAGAAAAGACACGGCCGGGTATCGCCCCATCTGCGTGGCTGGCGGCGGCCGGTGGGCCAGTGTCGCCCGGTCGGCCGTACTCGCTCCCTCCTGTCTCACTGTGAGCTATCACTGACCCTGGGTGAAGTCCGGCGCGGACAGAACGACCGCTATATTCGCAGCCGGTGCGGTCTGAGGTGCCGAGGTGCCGAGGCGACTGGCAGAGCGGCCCGGGAGATTGCTGTCACAGCAGCGTTCACCGGTGTCCGCAGCGATCAGGACAGGAGAGGAGGGGGGGGGGGGGGGAGGTCCGCCGGCTCCACCGGTCGACCTCTGGTACAGTGGGTCTATTTAAGATCTCCAGAGCCACCACGTGGCGCTACGGTCGGGGTAGGGCGAGTCCAACTCTCGGGGGGAGCGAGGTCACCGGTCATTGTGGAGGAAGGAGGGAGGGGGAGGGGTGACGCGCTGCTATCGCGGCGTGGAGCGTGCGTAGCGCCGGGAGTGGGCCGCCCGCCACTGCGCCGCGGCTGAGGGGAGGGGATGCTGGTTGCGGGTGCGCTCCCTCAGGTATGGTGGTATCCCGGGTGGTGTTTCACCGGTGATATCTGCTGACGTCACACTTGTGGTAGTGTTGGAGCAATGGGCTTGTTAACGTCTCCATGGAAACCCAATTTGACACGTAGTAATAGCAGCGTCCTGCGATCGCCGGTGAAACAACACCCTGTTCATGTGAAGCCAGCAAGAATGCGACTGAAGGGAATAGCTATCTCAAACAAACGGGTAAGCGAAAGGCAACGCCTCAAACTTGCAGCAAAAATGTAAACCAATCATAATTGAAATCTAGGACCTATACTTTCAGTCGATCCTTGCATGATGTGAAAGGCTTTTCTAAAATTTATATTCAGTTGCATAATTTCTTTCATTATTTGGCACGCTCAGCCTTGATGGTTTTTTTATCGGATCGAAAAGAACCACGAGTTGAAATGGGTCCAGAGAAACGACCAAAAATAAAAAAATGAAAATTCATGAAACTCAGCAAAACATTAAAATAAATATATGGGTGCGACAATTTTGACTTTGTTAAGAGGATATCGGGAAAGATAAATCACCGTGCTTGTCAGTATTGCAGTAAAAGGGAAGGTTTTGGCTAGTGTCTAGATAAAACCAGAGCAGTGTGGGGCTCGAACCCACGACATCGCACTCGGCACACAGATCACCCAGCCCCAACGCTACGAACAGAGGTGAATAAAACTCAAAAGCTGTCACCTGCGCGATGTCTAGCTGTCGCCAATTTTTCACAAGTCATCTTGAAACAGTAGGTACCATTTTTTTGCCGTTTTCTCATCACCTTTGAGGCCTAAAAAGTACATTTGAAAATGAGGCTAGAATGTTAGAAACAGGGCTGCGGAGTCGGAGTCGGAGTCGGAGTCGGAGTCGATATTGGAAACCCCAGCCGGAGTCGGAGTCGGAGTCACCAAAAATCTGTCGACTCCGCAGCCCTGCCAGGTGTGCGGAGTCGGAGTCGGGAGTTGGAGTCGATCGGAGTCGACATTTCTGCCCGGAGTCGGAGTCGGAGTCGGAGTTGGTTTTTGAAAGCCGGAGTCGGAGTCGGAGTCGGAGTCGCCGTAAATCCATCGACTCCGCAGCCCTGGTTAGAAAAAAACTGATCTTTCAAATTTCAGCCTCTGGGCATTACAACGCAACACCACATTTCAGTAGTCACACAACAAAAAATAAATCACTATCATTAAACTTACCTATAGCTCTGATCGACTTCCTAGCTCGTCCTGGCTTCCTGATCCAGTTCAATCAGAACTCACGAAAGGATTGTCAGTTGTCACTGCTTCACTTATCTTTGCTTCAGTAGTCAAGACCAATTATCAACGCTCCTACCAAGTTTCTGGGACCGATGGTCATGGACCTCGCCTCAGTTGTGGCCCAGATGTGACGTCCCCCGTCCCATCGTCCGGTCCCTCCCTACTCCGTCGGCGGCCAAGGCCGCGCCGGTCCCCGCCTCCGCTCAACCGGCGACGAGCGGGGACGAGCTGTCGCGCTGTCGCCGTTTTTCCTGCGTTGTCTATGGCGCTTCACAACGCACCGGCTGTCGCACCGGCGGGATTTTTCAGCCCCAGCTGTCTACAAAGAGATGACGCTGTTAAATTTTTGTGCCGTGGTCCATAGTGGTCTTCTATGGGAAGACAGCTCTGATTGTAGTGGAAACGGCCTAGTTATCTACTTTAAATGCATCAACTGAGATGCTCGAATCTGTCTGTTTATTCCTATGGCTGTCGCCTACGCACGCAGGCGAGTAGCAGGCTTTTTTTCACCTCTGGCTACGAACACCTGTCACCCTGCGCCCCTGCGCAGCTTGCTGGATAGTGTTTCCGCCAAAATTGTTTGTTGAATGTCTGACGTCTGTGAATGTCACGAGGCCAAGCCCGAAGGTAAATGAGGGAGCCGAACCAGGTGCTGAAAATGAGGCCGCTTTCTGGTCCCGGCGTTTTATTCTCCGGGTGGGTTAGCCCCGTCCAGCGCTTAGCCTTTCGGGACCCTCTCAAAGCTGCGGTTGTTTTCGCCGCTCGGCCCATTCGAGATGCAAAGTTGATAGTCACACGAACTTTATTTGAGGCCCCTGAATATACGACTTCGAAACTAATCGATTCTACAAAACCTTTTTCTTTCATCTATATGCATACATTTAACAGTGACTCCAGACTAGGCTGGTTTGGCTGGCCCTAAATAAGCTTCGTGTGACTATTAACTTTGCATCTCGACTGGGGCGCGCGGCAAAAACAACCGCGACCCTGAGTGGGTCTCGAAAGGCTAAACGCTGGACGGGATTAACCCGCCCGGAGAATAAAACGCCTGGACCAGAAAGCGGCCTCATTTCCAGCACCCATTAGACCGGGTTGAACCAGGCTGGACCGGGGTCTTACACCCAATCATGATCATACAAAACAGAAGCTAGTTTCAGGTCATATATTCTTATGAGTTTGTTTATTGTTTAACTTATTTTGGCTTATTTTTTTTTTTTAATACGAAACCTTATGCACAAAAATGCGATACTCGTCCACTTTTTCTCATCACCTTTTAGCGACTAAATGACCTTAGTCCGATGTGACCCGTCATACAAAAAAAAAAAAAAAATCGCCGGCCATGACAATTATTTGTCAAAAGGCGCTCTACGCAAGAAACACCAGCCAGTCCAAAACTGGTGAAGGATAGGTATTTCTGGTGCTGGAATTATCTTCAATGAAAATTTCAGGCTATATTTAGAATCTTAATCCCTTGAGCTATTCGGCGCTCGGAGCATTCGCTAGTATTCCACTGCCAGCTGCATTACCAACATCACAATCATTACCAACAATAATACCTATACCATAGCATCATGCATTACCAACATCACATATGCAGCACTTTGAGTGCGTCATATAGGTGACAATAGATGAACCGACCACGGCAAACCCATGCCTTTATCCTTTCCCTCCAAGCAGCCAGGCTACGGGCCGCCAGGCCCGCCACCGCGATATGGAACAGCGAGCCGGCTGGAATGCGTCCTTTGCCTACGGCAGCGCCTAGCTGCGCCGGGGCTGTTTGACAGGTCACCCGCACCGTGACCTCGCCCCTCCCCACCTCCCCACCGTGCCCAGCTCGGTACTGACCTCCCCTTGAATTTGACATGGGCGGTGTTTCACGGGACGCTGCTACCACGCTGCTATCAAATTGCGCGAGCTGACGTCATACTTGTGGTAATGTTGGAGCAATGGGCCTGTTGATGTTTCCATGGAAACCCAATTTGACACGTGTAAAAGCAGCAAGCTGCTATCACCGGTGAAACAGGGCCATGGACTCGACTAAGGCTCAACGCCATCTAGTTACGTCTGGAGATCCTAACTAGATCCACTGTACAGGTGAAAAGGCCCCCACGGTCCAGCCGGCGAGGGATAGCACGTCAGGTTACGGCCCAGGGTGCCGTTGGGCTTAATTACTACGTGGTAATATTATACGTGACTGGGTGGAAGCAGGGCGTGGTAACACCCGACAAGAAAACCGAACTGGAGTGGAATGTCCGCGGCAGATGGCGCCATCGCTCGGCTAACGAGAGAAGTTCTGGTGTAGAAGCTCCCGTCCCGACGGCGATCCGTCAGTAGAGTTGAGAATGGACAACAGCACGAAGTACGGACGGACGGTCTGATAAGTCGGTGGGACCATAGCACAGTGGCCCTTTTCCGGAATTAGCACGCATAAATTCAAAATATTTTTTCTCTTCTTTTGAGTAAAAAGCAGTCTAATCGTGTGCAAAACATTCCAAACTATCCGATGGTGCCATTTTTACCTCCTAAAAAATAACTATCTTTGGTAAAACTGACCGCAAAATCGAAGTTTGTTGAGAAGCGCGCGGACACCACCGGCGGACCCTAAAAAGTGGAGTAGAATGAACATCAATTTGTAAGACTTTCGATGCGAAAATATTAAAAATTAGTGGCATGGATGTGAAGCTGAGTTTACGTAGAAGCCCTAGAAACCACTATTTTCATTATATAAGCTTAGATAGACTACTTCTGCCGAATATTGTGGACACAATAACAGGACAATTATTAACTGGAGATGGCGGCATACATATGAAGCTTTATGTTAAGTAGCACACTCCAGCACATGTCGTATTATACATCGTTCGAATCGCCGATCTCTTCTGACCATGTCCACCAAAGGGCATCGCGCCATTTTGCGCCATTTTGCTTTTACGGTGGATAACGTGAGCCATTCAGTCCGCGAGCGGCTGTGGCTCCTGAGTCGATACGACTAAGCTCATTGACCTGGCTCGAAACTGGTGTCACCTGGTGTGCGCCTAAATGTGGCTTGACTTTTGCCATAAGATGTGCTAATTGAAATTATACTAACGGTGGCTGGCAACAGCTGTAGATGCGGTCACGTGACGCCCTGGGGCGTCCTGGCGGTCAGTGCAGCGCGGTCGGCTGGCGGGCTCGCCACACTTGCGCTCGGAGCGGCCTGGCCGGCGGGCGAGCCGTGCGAACGTGCGCCAAAGCTTGGGCCGAGCGGCCTGTCGCTGTTGGGCCGAATCTCCTTGGGCAGTTCGTTTCTTTTCCTCTCTTTGCATTGGCAGGGAATACGTCCTTGATCACGTGGTGATGTCTTGCACCACTTTTAGGTAATGTGGGTATTAATGCGTGCTAATTCTGAAAAAGGGCCACTGTGCATAGGTGAAACCCATCGGTGGGGGGGGGGGGGAAGAATAGCAGAAGTGCGCGAAAAATTCACTCCAGCCGGATCTGAACGGTGTTTAGTTAACACGCTATTCATGTGTGAGCAAACGGGAGACCTCTCGTAATACAAAACTGGATCCCATAAGTCGTGAGCCCGAGCACCGCGACCCGTCCGTCGTTTCCATCCTCAGGATGCTGAAATGCTTCTCCCCCACGCCGCAGCCCTCGCTCCAGGCTGGACAGGCACCTCTATCTCATGCGGGCTGCTCCCTTGGAGCGGCACCGCTGCTCCCGAGGCATCGCACCCGTAGCCGGGCGCAGAGAGTGCCTGGGGGGCTGGTCGGCCTGTCCATTCGAACGGGCTCAGCCCCGGTGACTCTCTAGGGTGCCTGCCCAGACCGAAGTCTCTCTCCACCTAATTCCTATCATTCTCCCGGCACTGCAATGGTCTCAATGCACCGATAGTGCCTAACCCAACAAAAGAGCACCGCATACAGCGACCATGGTGTTTGCATTTACATACTGCATCTCAGTTTGAAATTAAATTTACATCATGACTCATAATCATTTAAGATATTAAAAGGGTTTAGAAAATCATCCGGCACCCGGATACAGCACCGCCGGCCACAGCCGAGGAGGGGCGGCGGGACACCAGGACCGTCTACCGACCGAGCGGACGGGGATTACTGGACCGTTGGCCGGCCACTGGACTGTCAGCCGGTCGAGGCGGGGGAAGGGACGGGGACAGGGACATCTGGACCGTCCGTCCGTCGACCGGGACGTGCTGACTGACCTCCAGCAGGTGCAGCATCCGTCCGCCGGCGTGCGTCTCGCCGTCGTCGTCGCAGTCCTGCAGGAATGCGCCGCTGGCCGCGCCCTGTATGCGGTACGCCCACATGTTGTGTGTGGCCGAGGCAATCTTCCTGCACTCCTTCAGGCTGGCTATCACCTGACTGGGGAGGGAGGGCATCAATGTAAGGGGAGGCAAACATTGTGTATGATCAGAACATTCGTATCGACAGAAATACAGTATCTTGTCATATTATAGCGGACATTAAGCCACAGTATCGTACTTTGAACCGTATTCCTATACATGCACACAAGTCTTCACTGCTCGCATTAGCCCTACTCCATTTCTCTGTGTCCGATTACTCACTGGACCTGTTGGACGGTGACGACGGGCGCACAGTGCGCCTGGAACACGCTCTTCCGGTCCACAATACACTCGCCATGGATGATCTCCGGGCACGGTGACAGGTCCGCCTCGATGGTGGGCGGGGGAGGCACAGCCGCCGAGGAGACACTCTCCTCTGCAGAACAGGGAACAATGGGGACTAAGTACATACAAACACATAACAGAGGAGAGCGAGAGCACGACAGAAACTGGGCTGTCGATAAATATGCGACCGGCAAATGACCGGACAACGAATTCGTAATTATGTCAGATAAGACCTCATGAAGGATGCAAGAGATAAAATGAAACAGGGACGTAGCCAAGGGGGGGGGGCGGAGGGGGCGCCCGCCCCTCCCTTGGGGTTTTCAGGAGGCCCCCCGAAAGGATTCAGGCCAACGTGGGCCTTCGGCCCACGTCACGGCCCAAAATCACGTCGGAGGCGAACGAAATTCACGCGGGAATATAAAAATGACGTCAGAACAGTCAGGGCCCTCTGACCAGCCTGACAAGTGACAGCTAGGACCCTTCTTATCTCCTGTGAATAACCACTAGTGTCTGTGTCTGACCGCTAGGGCCCCTCTGACTCCTCAGTAGAGAGGAGGCCCTCTGAGGGTAGGAGGCCCTGTGTAGAGAGGAGGCCCCCTTAGAGAGGAGACCCCCTGTAGAGAGGAGGCCCTCTGCAAAAAGGAGGCCCTCTGTAAAAAAGAGGCCCTCTGTAAAAAGGAGGCCCTCCGTAGAGAGCAGGCCCTCTGTAAAGAGGAAACCGTCTGAAATCAGAAGGCCCTTTGAAGAGAGGAGGCCCTCTGTAGAGAGGAGATCGTCTGAAGAGAGGAGGCCCTCTGTAGAGGAGGACTCCCTCAGTAGAAAGGAGGTCCTCTGTAGGTAGGAGGCCGTCTGTAGAGTGAAGGCCCTCTGAAGAGAGGAGGCCCTTCGCAGAGATGAGGTCCTCTGTATAGAAGAGGTCCTGTGTAGAGACGAGACTCTGAAGAGAGGAGGCCCTACATAGATAGGAAGCCCTCTGTAGAGAGGAGGTCCCTGTAGAGACTAGAGAGGAGGCCCTCTGTAGAGAGGATGCCCTCTGTAAAGGAGGCCCTCTGGAGAGAAAGACACCCTTAGCAGAGAGGAGGCCCTCTGTAGATAAGAGGCAATCTGTAGAGAGGAAGCCCTCTGTAGATAAGAGGCCCTCTGTGGGCAGGAGGCCCCCGGTAGTCAAAGACAGCGTCGTATAATAAGCACATAGAGTGGAGGACCACTGTAAGCAAATTACCTTCCGGCTTCTGTTCCCTGCTACTCTCTATAGAGAGTTCTCAGTTCTCACTATAGTGAGAACTGAGAACTCAGGAAACTGTACAGAATAGACTCCCAACCGCGTCGCCGCCCGTTGTAGGAAGGGACAGGGGAGGAGGTCCTCTGTAAACAGAAGGCCCTATCCTATGTAAACAAATTATTATTAAACAAATTATTAAACAATTGTAAATGCGCTCAGAGAAATCATGCCGGGTGCCGTCAACGGTTTTGCCGTCAACGGTTTTACCTGCAGTGGCCGCAAAAACTGCCAAAATAGCCGACATTTTCGGAAACCAGTTTTCGGCAATAACGTTCGTCTCAAAATTTGCACGAACTTCCCTTTACCAGCATCGTGTTCCTCTCGTCAAAACGTGTGGAATGAACTATCAATTGAGCTTGAAAGGTCAACTTGAAAATTTGGCCTCAGGTCAAGGTCACGACCTGACCGATAAGGGCTAAGTTCCATATCAGTCCATCCGTATCGTCGAGCCAAACACAACTAAGGTGTATTCATCGCTCTAGCATGCCTCTATCAAAAGTTATTCGCGAAAAAGTCAGATACCATTGGTGACCTGAGATGACCTCAGGGTTATGAAAAAGGGTCACGGGTGCCATATCAAAACTCCAAGACATACATTTTTTGCATTTTGTCGCTCTTGTGCATTTGCATCTCTGAAAGTTTCAAAGCGTTTGGTCACTCCGTGTAGCTTTGGCAGACATTGAAACTTATGTAGTGCGGTCATTTGACCTGACCTGGTGACCTGACTTTAAGTGACCAGGGTCTGAAATTTTCACAACATATGCAGAAATGATGTAGGATAAAGTGTGGCGCGCCGTCGTTTTTGAGATATTCACGGTAAACTGCAGGGGGTGTATAACCCCCCCCCCCCCCCCGGCAGGGCGCGGGTTAATGCATGAACACAGCAGCCCCTTTCTGTAATATATAGTTACCTCATACCTGTGGCTGTGTTGGTATTTTTACGATGCATGCAATTACCCAAACCATTTATCAGACCGTGATGATATTCCCATAGCCATGCTTCGCACAACTCATAATAATTTATTTGACCGGGAAATTAATATATACCTATCCATCGATTTGTTTGTTTCATCTACGGCGTAAATGAAGCAAACCACCTGAGCCTAGGAAAATTTACTAACGAAACCATGTTTTACTTACAGCAAGTAAACGTGGCATCATTCACACAGAAAGAATTGATAACCGTATAGTTCAATCTTGCAGACGTCAGTCAGGTCAGAATCGTGACAAGCCTATTGGAAAATATAATGAACTGTGTCCTGCTTCGAGTAAACGAGTCAAGATCACCCAATTCTTTCTGAATTACGTCAGACTAGCTGATCTGTAAGCACCCAGGTGGCATTTACTGACAGGGGCACCGGGAAGAATCATCTGAGGCGAGGTGAGGTCATCAACAGTTTTTAGCCAATAAGTCACGACATGATGAGGCTAAATAGTTGTTAGTGTAACAAACCGTTCGCCTGGTCATGACGCGCCGATTGGTACCCAGCGTGACCTTCCTAGGTCAGATTTTGAAGTTGACCTAACTATGTAATGTAGGTCGTTATAAACCATATTATTTGTTATGACCTCTGGCGACCTCAATATTGACCTGACCCAGAAAAGTTGTTTACAAAAGTTGTAAGTCGTTCAACGAACTATCAAACGCCGTAGCCGTTTGTCGTTACGATTCGTGCTTTTCGAGTTCTGACGAGGGCCAAAAAGGCCCCCGCCCGATTCAGAGTTTTTCGGAGCCCGCCCGGAATACGGTTAAGCGCTTGAAAGATATATGATAATACACCAAGTGTTACTCTGGCCGTCATCCAGTATCCACCCATTCCTCGCAGATCCTCCCCCTCCTGCTGCGGTCCGGCCGACGCCGCCGCCGCCGGCGGCGCCCGAGTTTTTTTTTTTTTTTTGCCAGTTACCATGCCACTCGGAGACTTGTGATATGCGTATGTTTCTTACCGCTGCAGCGGTTAGAATAAAGAAACATACCAGTGCGCTGGCCATATGAAAGCTGAACAAAAGTCTGCATTATATAGTATATGTAATTATGTAGGCATGAGACCCTCTGTAGAAAGGAGGCCCCTTTAGGGAGGAGGCCCTCTGTAGAAAGGAGGCCCCCGGGATTCCTCCGCCCCTCCCTTGGCCAAATCCTAGCTACGTGCCTGAAATGAAATATTATGATTAGTCATCGTAACATTTTACCCAACATATCGAATTGACGGCTCATAAAATATCACATATCGAAACACATACCAATATCAGGCGCCGTTTCTTGGAGCTCCTCCAGAAACTCTCGAACACGCTCGATCCACAGGTACAATATGCTAGAACCAATGTTATCACTGAAAACAGAAGTGTGCATATTATTACCTTGCTGTGTTTCAGAACCGGAGCAAAAGACCCCGGGAGACCGATATAAGCTGATAGTTTACAATTGATTGCTAAAGTTGTTTGCTTTTAACCTTTATTTATGATATTTTCGCTACACATTACATATAAAGAAACAGTACTCAGTGATATTAAAGATTGAACAATAAGCATCCTTTGTCACAAACATGTGGTGAGCCACAGACGTTGTACGCACCAGTAAATGCCATCGAGGTGGGCGGCCAGCGTGTTCCTGAGGTCGCCGCGCAGCCACGGCGCCAGTAGCTCGTACTGCGGCGGCGACTCGGATGGGTAGCCAGGGGTCAGTGTCATCTGCAGAAAGGTCAGGGGGGGTCGGGGGGGGGGGGGGGAAATGAGAGGTCAGGGGTCCGGGGAGAGCCAGGGAGGTCAGACGGTGGGGAAATGAGAGGCCAAATGAGGCAAATGTGCCACTGGGGGAGCCTGTGTCAAGTGTCAACTTCATTACTTTGAGTTAAATCAGAAAATATTGTGATCGTCTCTGCATGTTGTTTACAAGTCTTGGCTGCTGAAAAGACAATTGGGTACCATGTGATCATTTACCTACCTCAAGAGTAATGCTTTTGCCTCCATGCACAATGGAGACAGAATATATTCTGGAAGACTCACTGACCACTTTCCACTCTTGCTCATAAATGGAGGAGAGTGCTTGCACCTCATCAGCCTGAAATGTAGGTAGTAGTACATAGTATCAAACGTTACATGACAGTGATAAGGATCATTCTTCACAATGAAGCATAAGTCTTACCAATAGTTACTACTATAGTTATAGTTAGTTAGTTAGTATAGTAGCTACAGTTACTACTAAAGTAGGTAGCTTTCATTGACATTACGGTATGTCACAACATTGCATAGGTATCTCCTTCTCTTCCGTTTTTTTTTTTTTTTTTTTAATAGAAAGACTGGTTGAGCCACAGGCAAAGCCCAGTGATGAGATCTTGGCACTTATGCCTGAATATTTACCATCTGATCAGGAAATTCTTAGCCTTAATAAGAAAGGAGATGCTTACATCACATGACCAAAGCTCTTTCTGAATAAAAAAATAACCTGCTCTTGTAACCATAACTTAAATTCCGTCTGGAACACTTCAGGGAAATAATCAACTTTATGAGCTGCTCAAGAAGTTGACCTATGACATCAAAGTATTGCATTGGATTCATGTTGGGAATAACAGTTGGACGCATAATTAACAAAAATGATTATGAATGCTCCTTGACAGAGTGAGCTACCTAGGAAAGAAAGTGTGAAAATAAACAACAAAAATATTTATCAGTTATCATTGTAAGTCTGTAGGGCATCTCATTAAGAAAAAAAAATGCTCACAAAAATGGGCTAGCAGTGGGAGCATCTATGCAATGAAAGAAGTCAGGGATATATGTAAATACTGACAAAATAGCAAGAGTTGAACATCAAGCCCTTATTGATTTTCCATTTTATGATAGCAGAAGCCTGTATGATGAAAGTTTAGTGCCATCTGACTTCAAAATACTGTTTGTACTTTGTAGTGCCTAATACATATGAGGATTTATGAGCCGGTCTCAAAATGGGTGGAATCTGAAAACAGGGCGCCGGAGGGCATATTTAGTCAAGTGACTCCCCATCTCTAGTCAAGTGACTCCCCCTCTTGATGCCGGTATCGGTAACCCTGGCGTCATCGGTAGCGTTTTCGTTCAAGGGTAAGGTTTTTAGGCGGCCGTGCCAAGCCGAAGCATGTTGTGACGTCACTGGGTAAGAGAAGATAGCGTAAGGAACGACTCAGGCAGACTCAGACCGACTCAGGCAGACTCAGATTGATTCAGATCGACTCAGATAGACTCAGAACACTCACACTGACTCAGACCGACTCAACCGACTCAAATCGATTCCGATCGACTCAGACAAACTCAGAACGACTCAGACAGCCTCAGACAGACTCAAACCGACTCAGGCACACTTAAACTGACTTGCTCGACTCAAACCGATTCAGGTCTGCTGATTCAGGTCAAACCGATGGGTCTGTCTGAGTCGGTCTAAATCGGTTTGAGTCGGTTTTAATCTGCCTGAGTCTGTCTGAGTCTGTCTGAGTCGATCAGTATCGATTTGAGTCTGTTGATTCGGTCTGAGTCAGTTTGAGTCGTTCTGTGCCTAGCTGAGTCAGTCTGAGACGATCTGAATCGGTTTGAGTCGGTCGAGTCAGTTTGAGTCTGCCTGAGTCTGCCAGAGTCTGTTTAAGTCGCTCCGAGTCTGTCCGAGTCGATCGGAATCGATTTGAGTCGGTTGAGTCGGTCTGAGTCAGTTTGAGTCGTTCTGAGTCTATCTGAGTCGTTATGAGTCGAGCTGAATCGGTTTGTGTCGGTCGAGTCAGTTTGAGTCTGCCTGAGTCTCTCTGAGTCGTTCCGAGTCTGTCTGAGTCGATTAGGAATCGATTTGAGTCTGTTGAGTCGGTCTGAGCTAGTTTGAGTCGGTCTGAGTTAGTTTGAGTCGGTCTGAATCGATCTAAATAGGTTTGAGTCGGTCGAGTCAGTTTGAGTCTGCCTGAGTCGGTCCGAGTCTATCTGAGTCTCTCAGTCGATACTGATAGGATAGCGTGGTAAGTTATCTTCTCTTACCAGGTGACGTCACAGCATGCTTCGGCCTGGCACGGTGGCCTAATACAGGATATTTTAACCTTGAACGAAAACACTACCGGTGACACCAGGGTTACCGATGCCTTACACAGGCTAATTGTCACAAGATTTGTGCAAATGAATTTAAAGAGCCTTGATCAAATCACACCAGGTTCCCTAGGGCTGTTCACGGGCCCTGTCCGACTGCACACAGCCTCCAAGCTCCGCCCACTGCGTCCCTATGTCAGCCTTCTGTCACCGCACACAGCGATTGCTGTGGCCGGTTGGGACTGGCCACAGCGGACCGTCCACCGCACGCAGCCGTGACGTCAGAACCGCCTACCCATCCCCTACCCCCACGCCTGCTGGACACACTGCACACACCGCACGCGGCAGCAGTGGCGGCGGATTCGATTTTGGCGTGGGGGGGGGGGGCAAGATCCCAGTCGAGATGATGTCATAGGCGGATCCAGAAAGACGTTTCCGACACTGTAGGGGACATACCCCCCCCCCCCCGAAAAAGTGTCCCAAATCCAAAAACTCCTCAGATTCCGATTCCTTACGGATCTACTGCTGAACAGTATAAAGCAAAAAATAAAGAAATCCTGATAAAAGTGTTATTATTAGGAAACATAAGGTACGCTTTTTCTATTTCGGGCGATGCAGGGGCCAGGGGAGGGATAGTAAATATTTGCTTTAAATGCCCGCTCCCTGGATCCGCCAGTGGACGATGTAACGCTTTTCGTATTGCTGTATTAGAAAAAAGTTTCAATGGGAAAAGTTGTGCCATAACCCGATCGCATATTAGATGTTGAAGAACGGTTCCAAACCTTTTGAAGTAGGCGAGCGCTTTCCTTCAATGAGGTAACTCGTTAGCATTTCCTCTGTTCATTTTACGTTCGATTTCCGTTTAACCTTCCTTTAAAAAGTATTTCTGAGACAGATATCAACTAGCTCACAGCGGGAGGAGACCGCTCAAACATTCAGAGACAGTCGGTCGCATCTAAACCTATTGGGACAGCGATCCGCCAGAAACCCTCCCCAAGGCAGTAGCTCGCCAACTAAGCCCACCGAGACGGGCTGTCTCGATGGGTTTATACAGTTAGCCTACAGCAAGGCTTAACTAAGGCCCAAATGCTCGTCAAGCTGGGAACGGAGGGCTGAGGTGAGGGAGCGTGGCGGTGGGCTGGGGTGAAGGAACGGTGGACTGAAACGAGAATCCAGAAGCTCTGGGTAGGGCGTTTCTTTTAGGGTGCGCTGACTGCGGTAAGGTCCAAATTATCACACCAAATTTTGCCACGACATCTACCGATTCAGGCACTCGAGAATCAGCGGCCAGTGATATCTGCAAGAGCATTTCCAACCCAGATTCAGCCTGGTGTCAGGGTGCCTCAGGTGGCTTTAATTAAAGTTGCACATACCTCAGTGCAGCCAGTCTGTCGCCGAAACCATTCGGAACAGACTTCAACAAAAAGTGAGACAAGGTTAGTGCTATCGTTATAAAAGTGCCATTATAGCCTTGGGCCCCGTTGGCTTGACCCACCGGAAGGTGGTAGTTATCGGACGCTGCGGGGCATACTCATTTTTCCAAAATGCCTCAGATTTCGCTTTCGTGTTCATAGGCGGCGGAACGGGGAGGGCACCGGGGCACCGTGCCCCCCTTTGATTTTGGCATTTTAACGTTAGCGCTATGGGCGTTGCATGGAAAGAATGGGACCAAAAGTCGGCAGGCCCTTAATTGAAGGTGTTCCGCCGCTACTGTTCGTGTTTGATGCTCTTTATTCTATAGTCAGCCTTTAGACAGAGGGGGGCCCACTAATGATCAGTGCCCTAACCCTCAAAAGTTTCCAACACTAATTTTTACTTTTTTAATAGTGAAAACTGAAATAAAGCGGATACTGAACTGTGAACATCCAGTTTTTACACTGGCCCCACACAAGCCTCCGAATGCCCAAAGCAGATCTCTGATGACTGGCCTTTGGGTGTCATACCATACCGTGCATTGGTCAATGTCGTCAATGTGTACGACCTCGGCGTTTACCATTTTATGCGCTGGAAACTGTTGCGCTCGAAGAAATCAGGGGAGTGGCTTATTATGAGCGCTCATCAGTCCTAACTACCCGCAAGCGAATGGCTAGCCATTCCGTCTCCGCTCGCTTGCGATTTGGCATTTATGTAGGTACAAAATAGAGGCAAACGACCACTGAAGGTATGAGTTGCGTCTCTTGCACACATCTATAAATCGAATCTGAGAAGACAAAAACAAAATGATATAAAGTGGAAATGGTTAGCATTTACACATATTCAAAAGGCACCGTTGGACAAACTGTAGGAGCGCATAGCTGCAATATCAGGTTATGGAAATTTTCCTCATGTTTAGGGCACAATATGGAGGGGCAAGAATATACGTTTGCCCCTCCTCCAAAAGTTTCTTAGGGAACGATGCCTCCTCTGCCACCCCGTATCCGTCGCTCCTGAAGCGGTCACTGAAGGCCTGGGTTTCCGCTGCGTTACGTTGACGCTTATAAAGCCTCCAAAACTAGGTTGAAGAGAGGAAAACTTCAATTGAACGTGAACGCTTGCCATTTAAGAAAGGCAACGTATGATAAAGTTATGGGCATCTGGTTACATCTTCAGATGATCGAACAGAATAATCAGGTACATGGTTTCTTGTCTAAGCTTTGTCACAAATTATGGGGGGGCAAAAAGATACTTTTGCCCCCCACGAGTTTGCCAGGGGGGCGCCCCCCCCTGCCCCCCCGAATCCGCCGCCCCTGCGCGGCAGTGTGCGGTGCCCATGATTCGTGAACACCAGTCACCACTCCTGTTTTCAGATTCCACCTCAAAATACTGTTCACATTTTTCATGATACAAGAACAAACTTCACTTTGAACTTTGAAGCCAGCCAGCAACAACTTTTTCTGTGACACTCAAACACACAGTTACCTGCTTATTCATTGAGAAGAATTAAAAGTTGGTTTGAAGTGCAAATTTCAGTGGCAAATCGTTATTCAACACAGACTGGCTTAACAGTTTTCTGGAAAATCAGCATACCTGAAGAGATATGTTATCCATCAACCCTTGCTTTTCAGACAGTAATCATAAGACAGTCTGAGTCGGGAAGCGTTGTTTGCTTTGTTTGTTTATACAAAAATTATACCGCGCATTCCATTTATACAGCAATCCACGCGTGAGATGCCAAGCATGCAAATATAAAACATGGTATGATCTGTTTAATTTGCTATGCAAGGAGCAGCTAGTGAACATTAAGAATAGGATTCAAATAAAAAATTTGAGTAGGTCGCTTATCTTTTGCTTGTATTTTTATCTCCAGTATGAATCTAAATGATATTTATCTTTCAAAATGATATAACTTTTGGATCAGATACGCAGACGCTTTATGAAATCAAACACACATGGCGCTGACGCTGCTAGAATGCTGCTAGAGAACACTAGAGACTGTAGAAATTTCTGCGCCATGAACGCCGTATTAGTATGCCTTTATTTTTACTCTTACGTCATGAATTTAGAGCAATGAAATTAGCTCTTTTGATTCGAAAGTAAAACTTGTCCAAGTTTCATGATCTTCTTTATTTCTTGTCACAACATCTTGAAATAAAAATACAAGATCTTGTTGGTCTATTTCATTTAGACGAGATAGTTGAGGTTAACTACGTTCACTTATTTGGTATTTGTGACGTAATATATCTTACAAGAATGATAAGTCAGTATAAAACGCTACTATCGAAATTATCGCATGTAAACAATGCCAGGGGCGGTGGTGTGGGGGTGCCTGGGTGAGACTTGGGTGAGACAGGTGGGACCAAGTTTAGAGCAAGGTTCTTACAGATAGTTTTTAGAGTACCTACTTTGCAGTTGCCAGTTGCGTTGCATCAGGTTCATTGGGGGATAGCACCCTTGCGATGTCATCTCCAGCTAAGATGGCCAAGAGCGCGCTGCGGAAGCGTGTCAAGTCAGCGGTGAGTCAGCTCAGCTCTGAGGAGCGCGCCCGGCAGAGTCGGGCGGTGACTCGTCAGCTGCTGGCGGTGCCACAGTACCAGCAAAGCCAACGCGTGTCCGTGTATCTCAGCATGCCGGACGAGATCCAGACGGGTGACATCGTGGCCGACCTGTTGCGCGCCGGCAAACAGTGCTTCATCCCGCGCTACGAGTCCGGCTCGTCCCACATGGACATGGTGCGTCTGCACTCGGCTGCCGACCTCGCCGCGCTGCCCACCACCAAGTGGAACATCCAGCAGCCTTCCCTGGACGAGCAGCGCGAGGAGGCGCTCCAGACGGGAGGCCTCGACCTGATCCTGATGCCGGGTCTGGCGTTCAGCCGCGCCGGTCACCGGCTGGGGCGCGGCCGCGGCTACTACGACCGCTACCTGACGCGCTGCCGGGAGGCGCAGCGGCGGCCGCCCGCCACCGTGGCGCTGGCCTTCGCCGAGCAGCTGGTGGACGAGGTGCCCGTGGAGGAGACGGACGTGCCCGTGGACGTGGTCCTGTGTGCCGGCGGCGAGGGCGACCACTGAGAGCCGGGCCGTCCGCAGCAGAGGGGTGCTCGGTGCCGGGTGCCCAGTAGTCGGGGTAGCTGGGTAGCGATGACGTATCTGGGCTCTGAAGACCTTCAAACCTTTGCTAGAAGCATGTACTTGAATATCGATCCTTTACTGGGATGTATTTGTAACAGGCCTGCTCTCGAGTTGAGACCGCGGGCGTGGCTGGGACGACTGCGCTGTGCCTACTGTCCTGTATAACCGGACACCGGTCTTGAACCAGCAAAGGAAACTAACTCGTAGCATTAGCTGGGGATGAATAGTTTGGTGGGGTGGGTTTGTTGACGGGGCACATAGCTTATGATTCTGCAATAAGTGAGTAGCCAAGCGACTCATTAAACCGCTCAAAGCCGTCAGCTACGTTGGCTTCTCTCAAATACGTTATGGTGTTACCGACGACCTTGGACAAATGTCAGCCTTTCCTTCGGTCTTTTCTCGAACTCGATGTTTTGGTGACTAAGCACGGGTGTCCTCGACTCTCGAGTGTTGTGCAATATTTTGAGCGGTGGGCTTTCAGATATGAGGTCAAGGTTGATACTGCCCAACCTGGCCAGTTGGCCACATTAATTAGTCTCGGGGCACTGTATTTTCTCGAGGGATCTGTTGCGGTCTCTCGTGAAGGCGTATAGATCTGAGCAAGATCTGAGCCAATTTTGTAACGTGGCTATTTTGTACCGATAATAAATTTTATTTTCGAAAAACGTGTGTGAACGAACGACTTCTATGAGTAGCTAGACTGACTGTGAACCATTTCTAAGTTAACAGAAGGACAGTTTAATTAGACAGATTAGTCATGTGATAACGGCCCTTTGTGTGCCCTGAGATGGTGGTGCGTTCTGCGCCGGCCTACTATCCCTCTATCAGTAACCGGCGCACGGCGGACCCCCTCTGCCCGGCCCTACATCCGGTACACCTGTGCCGAGTGTTTTATTCAATCGCCGATTTCTGTGCGCGCCGAGCCCGCCCTCAAACGACTGCAGTCACGCGACCATTACCGCGGAGACGTCGGTGGCACCACCGGCCGAGCTGGGCGGGCGCCGCTCCATTATTGATGGCGTCACGGGTGCGGGCGCCCACAACACGGCCCGATCACCGGGCGCCGGACACAACACGGCGTCGTCAGGCCCGCGCCGCCGGGACCGGGCGCCCGTCGGCCGGCCGTCCGTCGGTAGGTCGGTCAGTGGCGCGCGGCGGGTCGCAGCGGTCAGGCGGCGGCGGGGGAGTGTCATGGAGGGCACTTAGCCCCGGCCCCACTCGCCATCGCCCGGGCGCAGCGTCGAGCGGTGATGGGGGTGTCGTGGGGGACGGGTGCCGAGGACCTGCCGCCAGGGGTGGACGTGAAGGTGGTGTTCGAGAGGACCCCGGCCGCCTACCTGCCCGGCACGTCAGTCGTCGGACGGGTGATACTGACCCTGGAAAACCAGTTCGCCGTCACATGTGAGCACCGGGAGTGTGTGGGGCTGCGTTATCTCGCTTGTTTGCTATTTAGTGTTATGAGAGTTCCTCGTTAGTCGTAGATATCTTCCGTCTCACCATCTCTTACCCTTACCCTGTTGCCCTGAACAGTAGGTATTGGTATCATGAAAGTCGTACGGAGGCAAGCAACTTCAGTCGACAGTCACTCCTCTGTTCCATATCCAATCAGGCGAGGTACCCTTGCAATGGTTTTGAGGTCTGCCGAGATCCAGCGATATTATGAGCATGAAAAATCTAGAAAGCAATTTCCTTCCACGCACTGCAGCAGACGCATTTAAACTGAACCTCAGGGTGGGCCATGGCTCGTGCTCATTCGCCCACCAGTGTTGATTCTCACTTCTCGGCGCCTGCGGTGTGCTCAAACTCAATACCCCGCTATCCGGAACAGTATAACTTCAGGCGCTTACCCATCCTGCCATCTAGCGGCAACGATGAAAGTAGCAATGCTATCCGGAACAGCATAACTTCAGGCGCTTAACACTCCTGCCATCTAGCGGCAATAATATAAGTAGCAATGCCATGCGGAACAGTATAACTTCAGGCGCCTATCGCTCCTGCCATCTAGCGGTAACTATATAAGTAGTAAGGATATCCGGAACAGTACATATATTTTCAGGCGTTTACCTGTCCTGCAATCTAGTGGCAAAGATATGATAAGTTCTTATGCTTTCCTGAACAGCATAACTTTGTCATTTATGGCTGTCGAATAAGGAGCAACGATTGACAATGCAATTGCGAATCACTACCTACGCATCAGCCCTCACCTGTCCCTCCCGTGCTGCAGGCATCCACGTGCGGTGTCGCGGCGAGACGGTGGTCTCTTTTGTGGACGCTGACCACTCGGTGCGGGCCTGGGTGCCGGACTCCATCACCACGCGGAAGGCGGCCAAACAGGCCCGGTCAGTGAGTCGCTGCACCAGCTCAGACCGCCGGCTGACCAGTGACGGTGCAGTCATTTGTTTGAGTCGCAATGTGCGTTGCTAAGCGATATGGGAAGTTATGTAATTTTATGCAAAGCTTTGACGCAATTACTTAAATCATTACTTACATGTATGACTTCAATATCTAGCAAATAGGTAGTTACATAGTCCGGTTTGAATAGAATATTACGTAGTACGTACCCGGTTGGACATCGGCGCTCGTTTGAATTTGCACTTTGAAGCCGGACGGTCTTGCAAAGTCCATCATGAAGGCCTCGGTATTAGTGCTGTCGGCTGCGCATAAAGCTGCCATGGCACTGTATTGTTCACCGGCCACCACCCTCACACCCACTCCGTCCCATGCCGGTTGCAGAGTCCACCCCACCGCATCACTGAAGACCGCGGCGCTGGTGGCCGACATACACTCCATCGGCGCCTCCATCCTCAATGTCGGCCCCGGCGAGAAGTCCAAACGGACAGACACCATCGGCAGTATGCTGCCGGCGGTGATCAGCTCGGCTCCGAAGCGGGCGCCGCCGGCCCCGGCGCGGCCCGAGTCTCTCCTCAGCGTGCCGCCGTCGGGTCAGGTGACCCCGGCCCGACCCAGGTCGCTGCTCAGTGTGGCCGCCTCGGAGAGGACCTCGCTCTACTCGCAGCCCATGTCTCTGGGCACGGAGCGCCAGATGGGGCCGCAGACGGTGCCGGTGCGGGCGACCCAGACGCTGCTGGACCAACAGCGGGTACTCTTCGGCATCAGAAACTCCGACTGTGAGTGGCGTGCAGTGGAGATGCTGGAGTCGATTTCATAACTTGTGCTGTTACAAAATACTATTCTATTTTATCGTCTTATATGATTATTATCAAGATTTCAATTAAAAAATTAGCAAATTGCCGATTTTTCTGTGGGAAGTTACTTAATAAATATTTATCGAATTCAATTGCATGAGCCCCTAATTTTGACGGGCCCGTAACAAATGTTTCTGACGTTCCACTGACCTCCCCCTGACTCTCAAAAGTCGCTGCAGCCCCGCTGGCCCCGCTGACCTCACTTACCTCTCTCTGACTTCCCCCTGACCTCCGGCTGCCCCCGTCCCTCAGACGCCGCTCCGCTGCCGGCCGGCCAGCACCAGTACCCGTTCCGGTTCGTGCTGCCGGCCGAGCTGCCGCCGGCCTTCTCCGGGCGGTACGGGTTCGTCCGCTACCTGGTGACGGCCGTGGTGGAGCGGCAGATCCCGCTGCCGTCGCTTAGCCGCGCCGCCGCCTTCTCCGTCATACCCGAGAAGGGCGTCAGCGACGTCAAACACGGCTCGGTGAGCAGTCCGTGAGACGATTAACGAGCGGTGGTGGGAATCAAGAGTAGTGAGGAAATGCTTCAGATAAGAATATTGTTTTGAAATACGTAGCTAGTTGGAAATTGAACGTTTCGACCTGAAACAAGAAATCATTTCATGTGATTAAATGCACATTTTTATCAGTCGCTTGTGTATTTTTGTTGTTACGTGCTTCTGCTCTCACTAATGACGGCTTCTTTCAAAGATACTCCGCTGGTTCAACCGGCACTTGACCAGATGGGCCCGCTCTTTTCGCCCTCAGACTGCGACTCGCAGCCAGGCCAGCCGGTTCCTGTGCGGGTTCTGCTGTCGGCGAGGTCCCCTCACCATTTCCCTGGAGGTGGGCCGCCGAGCCGCCGCGCCCGGTCAGAGCCTTCCCGTCAGCGGGGAGGCTCTCAACATCAGCGGCCGCGTCATGCCGGCGACGTCACTACGACTTATGCAGGTACTGACGGCAGTACCGCTCCGGGTTTAGGTATAGCTGACATCACCTCAGACTTGTACGGGTTGTTTGGGTGGGGTCATATTGTCCAGGTTCATGAAAATGAAAATATATGTCGAGCATTAGGTACTTACCAAAAGATCCACACCATTGAATGTAGAAAGCAGATTGCAGGACATCGGAATGTTGCATAGTCAGCTCACTGATTATCTGGCGTAAATAAATTGTTACTTCTGCACGTGACTGCTATTTTCTCATCTATCGTGATAATCAGGCGCCACAAAGAGTTCATTCAGCCCCAAACTCAGTCCGCGAAGCTTCCAGCTAGATTAGGTGGCACCAGCATCGTCATCCTCGCCTGTCAAATTACGCCGTAACGACGTAATGTCACAACAGCGGCCCCACTACCAGGCTGAGCGCCGACCCAGTGTTTGCTGAGCATCGGTCGTTAGCCGCCGTATACGGCGGCTCCGAGGGGACTCGGCCACTCGACCAAAGTGGCACCGGCCGCCGGCGCCACTGCTGGCCACGGGAGGCTCACGGGTGAACTGGTGCGGTGGTGTTACTGATGGGTGAGGTGGCGTGGTGAGCTGCAGTGGCACCACCGCGTGCTGTAGTGCCACCATTCGGTGCCTCGAGTACGGTTCGTCACATGACCATTGACCAATCCTTACTCGTAACAGCAACGACATAATCCTTCCTCTAGATGGCTATGATGCATGAACAGTACCTTGCCATGAAATCGAACATTTAAGCAGCAACACTGCACTTCAGACCATATTGCGGGCTCTACCACCATGATTTAACCCTCGCCGGCCGAGGGGGGGGGGGCGGGTGCCGCCCCCCCATAGGGTTTTTTTCGCGATAGCTCCGAACACGCTGGCAATAGAGAGCTGAAACTTGGCATACCTGACCTTTGATCTAAGCCGCATCTTTTGACACCAACCGCATTTTTGGGTCAGGTCAGGTCACTGACCTATGACGTCATAAGTGAACCTCTGCACGGTCTTCAGATGTCGCAACTTCGCAACGCCCTCACTGCCAGAGGAGATGTCACAGGGAAATGAAACTTGCAGGATCTAGTATCCATTATGAGTCCCACAACTTGTATATCTCGGATTTTTCCTAAAGGTCATATGAGGTCAGGTCATTTTCGTGACCTCACCATTATAAGTGTAAGAGTCTTCAGTCTGAAGGAATTTTAGTAGCAGTAAAAGAAAGTCGGATGTGGCAATATGGTATGGCAGCGCGACAGAACTGGCGCGGTGATTCGTGTGACGTGTGCGTCTAGAACGTTCGTTGTTGTTGTTGTTGGGTGTGGCACCACCGTGGGTGCGTCCCGGAACTGAAATGTGGATTTGAGATATGGATGAAGAGTGGGCTCGATATTCGTGCGTTTAATACAAGATTGAAGAAGAGAACGTTTCATCAGCGGTGGGATAAGATTCAAGCCTCAACATGGATGGAATGAAAAAGGAGTCGAAAACTGGAGGTGGAAATGACGCCGCTTCTGCCGCAGTCGCCATGGTGGGTGGATACGGGTCGGGCCTGATGTTGGCCCCGCCGGTTTTTACCAAAGACAGTGACCCGACCACCTTTTTCAGCGCCTATCGGAGAACAGCTCGGGCCAATGGGTGGCCTCTGGAGCGGCAGTTGGACTTGCTGCCTGCGCTGTTTGCCGGGGAAGTTTCGTGGGTTGCTGACGACCTGGATCGGCAACGACCAACCTCCCTGGAAGAAGCAGAAGTAAGGGTGAGGGCGCTTGTGTGGCCTCGTGAACGTCAGCAAGTCAGTCTGCACCGCTTTTACGAAGCCAAAATGAAGAAAACCGACGAGCCCAGGACTTTTGTGACACAACTTCGGAGCCTGCTCAAGGGAGGCATGCCAGACATACCAGATGACTCTAGAGAGAGAATGATCATGGAACATCTGCCAAGGGCGGTGCCCAGTGAATGGCAGCTGAAGTTGCTAGATTCGGATGCCACCACAGTGGAGGCCTACGTGAGGAGGCTGGAGCGTCTGAAGACCTCAGAGCAGCTGGCAAGGGAGATACAGGAGGAGCAAACCAGGAGTGCAGTGCCTGTAAGGTCAGTTGCTGAGCCGAGGAGGAGCAATGGTCGGGGTGGACTGTGCTTCAGGTGTGGAAGGAGGGGCCACTTTGCAGCCGCCTGCAGGGGGCCACCTCTCTCTGCACCAGTTAGTGAATCGAGGCAGGGAGCAGGACCAAGTGAGCCAAGGCAGGGAGCAGGATCAGCATCGTGCTTCTTTTGTGGACAGTCTGGGCATCTTGTCGCCAACTGTCCGCAGAAGGGTCAGCCGGCTCAGCGTCAGCCCGTGAAGTGCTTCAGGTGTGGAGGCCTTGGACATGTTAGCAGACAATGCCCAAGTGATGCTGGAGCCAACAGACAGGGTGGGTCACGGCGAACAGATGTGAGGAGAGTCACCCACTCCAGAGTGTCTGAGCTGAGATGTATTGTGGAAGCTGAGGGTAAGACAGTGGCAGCAGTTGTGGACACGGGCAGCACTGTCAGCTTGATCAGGGCTGCTCTTGTGTCGGACCTCTGTCTGGAGTTGAGTGTGGAAACAGCCCCTGGCTTAGTAGCAGCTAATGGTACTGAGGTGGAGGTGCTTGGAACTGTTGTAGTGGAGCTGAGTCTGGCAGGGAAGAAGAACGAGCACGAGCTGTATGTGGTGGAAGACCTCACCGATTCTCTTCTGCTTGGCCTTGATGCTCTCAAGAAGTGGAAGGTGACTATTGACTGTGGGTCAGGCCGACTCGCGGTTGATGGAAGAGAACTGGACTGCTCAGAGACACCTGTGGTGACGAGAGGCGAGATCTGTTGCCCATCCAGGAGTGAGTCGTTCATCTGCATCCGACGCATCAGCTGCAACAGTACTATGGTGTTCAGCCCTGCTGATGTCAGCGGTGTGAAGGTGGCACCAGGTCTACATCATCGGCACCAGGGGTTCCTGTTCGTCTACTGAACCTGGGAGACGAGGAGGTCAGACTTCCATCTGGCACGATGCTGGGTGTTGTTGAGGAGTTAGCAGTGGAAGGTGATGTCGTGACGGTGAGAGCTTTGCAGGCGAAGTCTGCATCAGGAGCGGCTGCGCCAGGAGGAGCCGGCGCGCCAGCTACACCAGGAGCATGCACACCAACTGTACCAGATGCATGCACACCATGTGCACCAGCTGTGCCAGGAGTGGGGACGCCTTCCGCATCAGGAGAAGCGGAAGCACCTAGAAGTGTACCAGAGACAGCAGTGCCAGAAGGCGCAGGAGCGACAGTCCCAGAAGCCAGAGTGATGGTGACATCTGGAGACACCAGAGCTGGTCAGCCCAGTGTGGACCATCTCCAACCAAACTACCAAGAGAAGTTCCGAGCACTTCTCCAAGAATACCAGGAGGTATTCTCTACTGCTGAAGACGACATCGGCAAGTACACTGGTGACCATGTGATGATCATTGAAACAGGAGATGCTGAGCCCGTTCGACAGAGGGCGTATCGGACGCCACTTCACCTCCGGGATCAACTTCAAGAGAAGCTGAAGACACTGGAGAAGCAAGGACTCATCGAGCAGTCAACATCACCGTGGGCATCACCTGTTGTGCTCGTTAAGAAGCGTAACAGCCAGCAATTGCGGTTCTGCTGCGACTACCGGGCCGTCAACGAGAAAGTAAAGCATGACGCTTTCCCACTTCCGAGAGTGGAGGACCTTATTCAGGCGACAGGAGGTGCTCGGTACTTTTCAGTTCTAGACCAAAGGGCAGCCTATTGGGCCATCCCTCTGGAAGAGAAGTCGAAGGAGGTGACAGCGTTCGTCACTGAGTACGGGCTGCATCAGTGGACCAGGATGCCGTTCGGCATGAAGACCAGCCCAGGATCATTCCAGAGGATTATGGAAGATGTGCTGCGGGGGCTAAACTGGAAGCAAGCGCTAGTGTACCTGGACGACGTGGTGATCTTTACGAAGACACTGGACGAACACCTGGAGTTGTTGGCTGAGCTGCTCGAGAGGTTCCGCGTCAATGGACTGAAGCTCAACCCCAGCAAGTGCACCATCGCGGTGACCAGCGTGCACTTTCTTGGCCATCAGCTGGATGAAGAAGGGATCAAGCCGTCGTTGGAGAAGGTGGAGGCCATCCAGGCCTGGCCTGCCCCAAGAGACGTCCACGAGTTGCGTCAGTTCCTCGGATTCTGTGGCTATTATCAGCAGTACGTGCATCACTTCGCTGAGAAGTCTGCGCCTATGACAGACCTGCTGAAGAAAGGAGTCAAGTTCCAGTGGACGAAGAGGTGTGAAGACGGATTCCAGCAGCTCAAGAAGGACCTTGAGAAGTATCCAGTCCTGAAGTTCCCCAGGGTGGAAGAGAGGTTCACACTCACAACGGACGCAAGCGGAACAGGATGGGGAGCGGAGCTTCGACAGGAGTCCGGCGTGGTAGCATTCGCGTCAGGAAAATGGAATGCTGCTGAAGCCAACCGAAGTGTGACGGAGCGGGAGCTGACTGCTGTGGTGAAGGCGGTGATCAAGTACCGCCACTACCTGATCGGTCAGAAGTTCACCCTGCGAACGGATCATGAGGCGATCCGTTTTCTCCAGAAGGCGAAGCAGCCGGGAGGTCGTCTGTTTCGCTGGCTAACCCTCCTACAAGAGTATGAGTTCGACGTGGAACATGTGCCTGGCAAGTCCATCCCGCACGTGGACGCGCTCTCTCGTTGCCTGGTAAGAGCAGTGCAACAGGAAACTACAGACATCGAAACTGAAGAGGAAGTAGACGAAGACGGTCGTCAAGAGGACGGGAGACAGGAACAAGATGAGGAAAAAGATGACGTTCGGTCTGACGACCAAATGGACCAGGATGATGAAGGAGAGGATGCATATCAGGATCAGCAGTTGAAGGATATGGCGGTGGAGTCGGCAAGGGATCCAGTGCTCCGCCAGCTGGTCCATCATCTGAAAGGAGAAGAGGTGACAGCTGAGCATCTGACGACTGAGCAG